CATCCTAAATCCAAAACACAGCACTGTGCCAGCTACTAGGAAGAAGATTAACTCTATCCCAGCCAAAACCAGGACACGCAGTTAAAGCACATCCCATTTCCTCTTGGCCTGGTCACCTCACTGGGCCCTCAGCAAGTCTTGATGCGCCAGGCCAGAAACACCAGCAGCGGCGCAGGTTTCCAGCTGCTCTGCCTGTAGCATCGGTAACTCGCTGTACCTGTTTGTTGGCTCTTGGAAGAGTTAGGACCATGCCTCCTGCGTTCAGATCAGGCACTGCTGACACTGTAGCTATCACTTACTTACAGATGCATTTTTTTGTCATTTGCATACCATTAGTGGCACATGGACCACCATGATTATAATTTTGCTAATGAATTTCTCTAACATTTCAAACAACTAAGAATTATAATTACCAGCATTTTTGTTAAGATACAAAGAAGAGTTCAAGATATAAGCAGAGAAGAGTTTTAGATGTTAGTTCTGAGACCCTTAAGACAACTTCATTTTGATAAAAATAATAACGGAGATATATATGTTCTGTTGTAAATCCTGAAGTAAAGTTACATTAGTTAAAGAATTATATTTGAAAAGTATTCTTTCCCAAAAGACTTCTTGTCCTGACTACAGCAGATTCACCATAGCTTCAAGGGGAGACTGTCTCATTTGCAGGAAGGAATAAAGGGTCAAAGCTCCTCCATCAGTCGTTCTATTTGCCGTGCCAGTTACTGACAGAGACTTTTCCTAACCAGAAGCCACAGAAAAGAAGGGAGCAGGAGCACTTCATGCAGTGATGACTGTTTTATAAACCTCTCCTAGAATTTGATCCCTCTTTTGTAAGGAACAGCTGGATCAAACTGTTTCTGAAGCTTCATTGCTATGGTGGTGCTTTTTCTTCTGTATAAATCTTCAGTAAAACCTTTCCACCTACAGAACACGAAATGAATGCTGATGGAGGGCGCATCATTATATCTTCAGCTTTCAGCAGTAAAGTCACTGTCTTAAAGAATCACTGACATAATCTTTCCTTTTGCTATACCAACCTCAAATAAAGACTTCAAGTGCTGGTTTTGTCTTTATAGTAATCTTGAACAATATTGTTTAGCATTATTTACAGACACAAGGTTTACAATTAACCCTTCTGCAGAGAGTAGTATTTGGAACACATTAGATGAAATTACAAAAAGGGAACAGTATTTCCATTCAAGTTTTAATAGCTTACAAAATAAGTGGAATAGTATCTCGTATTCTGGGTTTTTCCCTGTGGACTGCCATTTTATTTTTTTTTAAAAACCCCTTCATCTGGAAGGAAATAACAAAAATATTTTAGTCTGGCTAAATTAGTGTCTTATGTAAAAATTCACGACGATGTGTTTTTGAGGTGTTTTTCATTCAAGGAAGAATGGCATTTTGGAAAGGTGATTCCTGGTTTTACTAAACTGTTTCTTTTCCCCAACAGGGAAAGCAAGACAGTAAAGCAGTGGCTCCTCGATTCCCCAAAGTTAAAGATGAAGGATGGTTTTTGATATTGGGAGAAGTTGATAAAAAAGAACTCATCGCCCTGAAGAGAACTGGATACGTCAGAAATCGAAATACTGTTTCTGTTGCTTTTTATACTCCAGAAACTCCTGGGAAGTATGTAAAATTTAAAAATTGAGTTCTCTTAACGATTATCTTTTCCAAGTAGTCAAGACCTAATTTCCAAACTAATGATCCTGCTTTTTACATTTTAGGTGTATCTACACATTGTATCTCATGAGCGACAGTTACCTTGGCATGGACCAACAGTACGATATTTACCTGAACATTGTACCAGCTAGTACTTCGGCACAAGTCCCAACAGAGGTGTCCGATGCTATGAGTCACCTGGCTCTGAAGTAAGGCGATTGGAAAAGTCCGTTTAAAAGAACCGGTCTTGCAGCTAAGACATCTGGTCGTTCTGGACATCCAAAAATGCGTTTGCCTTAGCGGAACCAACTTCAAACCTCAAGACAACTAGGAAATTGAAAGTGACTACTGTATTGACTCTGGTAACACAGAGTTAGCCGCAGTGGCCTTACTCCTTTATGAAGATTTGTCTTTTCTTGTTTCATTTTTCGTCTTTCAGAAGTCATATTGTTAATTGAATTTCGACACATCAAAATTAAAGACTAAAAGATATTGTAATTTGTGCAAATTTAGGGCTATAGTCCTCACTTTGAAAAGTGTTCTGTAGCCTGTGTATTACTGTAGTTTAAATAGTCAACTTTTTTAATTTATAGGGAAAAAATACAAAATTTGATCTAAGAACTGCTGAAAATATTGATGGATGTGTTATATTTCCTGTTTAATAAAAATAAGTCCATAAGAATGTTTTGCATTAGATTTCTTAGTGTAAAATCAGCTGTATAGTAACAAAATCCTCCTCTTACACATACTGTATTTTGAAGGGGATAATCTAAAGGAAAAATTTCACAAATTTATATTAATTATATATGCAGTAAATCTGGTTGTAAAGGCATGCTAAATAGTATAAAATATTTCCAGTATAGCAATGATGCAATTTATATAGATCATAATTAAAGTTTACCCTTTACATGTATGCGCATACATATATATATACACACACACACCCCCATACATATTATTACATATTTACAATTTCTTTAGTGTTTTTTCCTGAATTTTGAAGGACTAAGGCATATAAAATCGTGTGTCCTGTTCTAGGGTTCAGTGCTAAAGTGGGCAACTACATTCTGTAAATAAGGGAGAGTGGGGCTCCAAAACCAGGGTTTACAACAGATGGCTTGGTGGGCAAGGAGGAGTTCTGCCAGACGACAGGTAGTGTCCAAGAGATGCCCAGCTCAGTGATAGTACCACGGAGGCACTTCCGTCCGCAAGACACACATCTGAAGGGAAAAGGTAGCAGCGTCTGTCTTCTGCACAATACAGTGACTGGACTGCTTACCTCGATCTGCACGTCCCGAGGTCAGTCCTCTTCTCAGCCTCAAGGGGATTCAAGATGCTGAGCGAGTACTTGGAGGCAACACACTGCAAAAACATCACGCATCTTCATTCCGATAGACTAGACCTTAAACTGAATATTAATATTTGAACTTGTTCAGCTTTGCATTTAGCTGATAAGCATTACCTCTCTGAGGGATCATTTTGCTATCATTTCCATTGTGTTTCACCAGATGAAAGAATACAGCAGTTGTTGCCTGGAAGCTTCCCAAAAAAAAAAAAAAAATTACGCTGGTGGTGCTGCACGCACAGAGAATCACAGAATGGCTGAGGTTGGAAGGGACCTCTGGACGTCATCTGACCTAACTCCCCTCCTCAAGCAGGGTCACCTAGAGCTGGTTGCCCAGGACCATGTCCAGATGGCTTTTGAATATCTCCAGTGATGGAGACTCAACCTCCCTGGGCAACCTGTGCCAGTGTTTGGTCACCCTCACAGGAAAAAAAGCATGTCCTGCTGTTCAGAGGAAACCTCGTGAGTTTCAGTTTGTGCCCGTTGTCTCTGGTTCTGTCACCGGGCACCACTGAAAAGAGCCTGGCTCCGTTCTCGTTAACATCTTCCATTCATTATACACATTGATGAGATTCCCCACTGAACCTTCTCTGCTCCAGGCTGAACAGTCCCAGCTCTCTCAGCCTTTCCTCATGTGAGAGGTGCCCCGGTCCTTTCACCATCTTCATGGCCCTTCGCTGGACTCTCTCCAGTATGTCCGTGTCTCCCTTGTACGGGGGAGCCCAGAACCGGACACAGTACTCCAGGTGTAGCTTCACCAGTGCTGATCACCTCCCTCGACCTGCTGGCAACACTACATTGCAGCAAAGAGAAGGCTGGCTGGTTTCAAAGGGTCAACAGTTAAACATTAATTTATTTCATATATATCTGGCACCTCTAAATGGTGAGAAAAGTTTTTAAAATAATCAATTCTGTAGTTGAGCGTTTTCTGATGATGTTAAAAGTTTTATATTTCATTTTTAGAGGTTGACTTTATTGCCTAAGAAAATGGGACAATAATAGAAAAAAGTTGTCACTATATTTACAGCCTGCTAGATGACAGAACTGCCGCCTTTGCCATTTAGACTATATCCAGTGTAATATGGTGTTGTGTCACACAGAAAACAGATTTTTTTTTTTCCCCCAAGTGGTAGGCAAAAGTTTGGTTATACGCATATTTACTTAGTCCTATGCCCATTTTTAAGAGAATTGTTTCCTCTAATCTGCAAGAAAATTTTCACAGAAATTAAGTCCTTTCTTTGGGAAAATTCTTGGCTGAAGCAATATATTGTCCCTCAACAATTTTAATTAATTAGGGGGAAAAAAAGCTATGCCGCAGTCAATCAACATACCAACACAGTGACGCTGGCTCTTGTTGCTTTGTAAATGCACATCACAAAATAGTCTAACAGCAAAGTAACAGACAATAGCTTCAGTATTCTGTATTAATCAATTAAAGAGTTTCTGTAATGTCATTTGTACTTTGGTTTGGAAATGTTGCATTTAATTTCCTAGCATGTTAATTGTTTTTAGAAATAGTTTAGCGAAATTTCTAAATAACATTTGAAATTTTTTTTTAAACAAACAGAAGCATTGGATTCATGAAGACAAAGTCTGAAGTGATATAGAATTAATTTAAGCAAATTGATTAGAATCGGTATTTATCTGAAAAATCCAAAAGAAGGAATTCTGATGCATTTGAAACAGCTGCTTAGAAGGAACAATCAATACATTCAATCCAGTGGTCTAATGGTGGAAAGTGAGAATAGCTGTCTAAAAAAAGTATAAAAATCAAATACAGAATTTAAAAAAAAGGTATCAATACTTTGGTGATGTAATTATTATCATTATGCATAAATGAGCAAATTGACAGCACATGCAGAAATTTTTTAATGTTAAGTTTCTCATTCTAGTTTGCAAGCAGGTTTTTATTCCTCCCCAGCCCCCCCCTTCTTGGAGCAGCTGTGGTCAGTGCCTGCCTGCTCAGGTATGGTATTTCTTCCAAAACTTGGAAGGAGCAACAAAAACCACACACATCTCATGCATCAAGATGTATTTAAGTCTGCCTATGTGACTTCACCCTTTCCATCTTACCCTGTCCCAATCCGATCATGGCATCACAGCGGTGCTTAGCGGGAACTAGAGGATGTTTGGGTATGTACAACCATCCCCCGTCTCTTCTTGAGGAGCTCTTACAACGCGATCTGTCGTTAATACTTACGTAAGATTTTGGTTATAGTCCAAGTACTGAATGTATCGCAATGGCACCATGACACCATCTTCACTACTGCAGGTCTTTCTCTTTTGTTGTAAATTGAATATTTGGAGGCCCTAATTTCACCCAGATGAATTCAGGGGTTTGTGCTGCTGACCCAAAATTCCTCTTCCTTGTCATTAGTTTGTTTCTAGAGACCATCTCTAGATGGTCAAACCTGAAGGAAACTTCAGGCAGTCCCTCATCAGCCTCCATCCTGGAGCCTAGGGTAAGACTTGAACATTCACTGAATAGGTTGCATTTAAAGGAAGGTAAGTTCCGCAATTCCAATCTTCTAGTTCTGGGGGGTACTTACAAAGAGAAGAAGGTATCCCGTGTGCATCTGCTCTTGCACATCACAGCCTGAATCCAAATTCCTACATTGCTCCCTCACTCAAGAAAAAGAGGCTCTGATATTTTTAAGACAGTTTGATGAACTGGTCCAACAGGCATCACTTCTCTATGAAGAGGCTTATTTATTGCAGCCGGTTCTTAAATCACCACTCCCTTGTCTTGCCTCCACCCCTCCCTTTAGCTTCTTCCACTACCTGTACACCCTACAATCATACCTGTTCAGAGACAGTTACCTATATTTACCCCAGACAGTAAATTATCACAGAAGGAATTTAACCTCATCTCTGATGTAGTATGGACACTTCTAGCCTATGGAGTAAGTACTGAAGCAGGACAAAGTAAGGTAATACAAGCAAACCATGTATATTTTTTCCACATCCTATAGGTCTCCATAAAACAGTCTGAACTAATGCCGAGAGTAGAAAAAAATCTGTATGATAATTCTGTAACCAGAAAGCCAAGCTGTGGGTGTAAAAAGAAGCCACCCATCCATCCCAGTGTGCTTTACACCTCATACAAAATAGTAAATTTCTGGAAGTTATTTTTATATAAACTTTTTTTCTTAGTTTTAGGTATCCTTTCTTCCAACTAAATTGCACACCTTTGGCCTTGATTTAGTTGCTTACATGCAGATACCTAGTGCCCTTTAATATGCAATATCTCACCTGGCCTCTACATTGAGCTCCAGAAGAACGTGCGCCATCTGCACAGGGCTATCAGATGTGAAACATGATGCTGTTGTATCTATCACTCTCTGTGGATGCCTCAAGTAAGCTAAGGCATCTGAAATAGCACTAGGTATCTACATTCAGGTAACCAAATTGAGCCCTTATTACTTGCTTAGTCATAGATAAGCAATTCAGTTGCTTAACTGCGTCTAATGCACTTTAAAATCACCAAGGATATTTCAGTTGCCACGCCAGAAGACAGCACGTCTTCCATAGGTCCTGTGTCACTTCTGCTATCCCCACACAGATGTGCCAATATCATGGGGTGGATACCTACATACTCAAGCTTAATTAGCTAATCAAGCCCATGCTATTTTGTAAGTCAGAAGAACCATAAGTGTTCAAAATTCTCTCTTCCATAGTACAGTGCAAGCTGTTTTATGAGAAGGGAGAATTCTCCTGCTTCATGAGAAGAAATATTTTTCTGAAAAAAGGTTTGGATGCCATGAGACGCCCAGACAGCCATGAGAGCTACAAAAAGTTGAGGGGGGGCTGCTGCTGACAATGGTCACTCCATTTCTACTTAACACGCTATGCCTATTCTATCAGCTGTGTTTGATTCCCACCTGTCTTTTTAAAAACCAATCTTGTCAAACAGCACGTCTTCTCAGAGCACGCTGCACTTCAGCAGGCTGTGCCAAGACTTACATCCGCAGAAATTTTGATGCACATGTTTCTGAAGTGATTTGCAAAAGCTCAGGAATGAACTAACCAAGTTCGTTATTAATGTCACACATTGGTAGCTGTGAGAGGTTACGCTGCTTGCATGAAGTATGTGAAGGGAACTTCTATATTCAAGGAACTTCTCTGGAAAGCAATTGCACCGCTTGTACTAAATAAGTCTCTGTGTAAATAATTCCTACAGAGGAGTCAATCTAGACAGAAGAAACCAGTTCTATAGAAAAGGACTCTCCACAGTGATTACGCCATCCTGCAATTAAATATGTTTACAATATGTCTTGTACTCAGATCTTCTAATGAGCTCCATACTGCATCAATGTGATTTGAATCCAG